GGTGAGGCTGTGGGTGAGGCGCAAGCGGTGTTCCTTGTACTATCTGTAAGTAATAGACGAATTCCTGCATTTCTCTGGCCAGTAGAATAGTGATAAACACACATGGCATGAATATCTGTTGCACTGCATAGTTTTGGAACTTATATTGATATAAATGCTTTTAGAACTTATATTGCTCATGTAAGTGAGCTTGGGGTGGAAGATCCTTGAGGACCCCTTGTCTTACTGAGATTTCTGGTTTAGAGATCTCACCCCATGTTTGGGGAATGCTTATTTTAGGTTCAGGTAATGTTGGGGTTGAGACCTCAGGCGGCAGGAAGCCGGAGCTGAGTTAGATATTGCTGTTATTTTATGCTGACTTGTTGGATGCTGGTTATGCATGCTGCTTTTATGCTTTTAGCCTCTTTATGATTTTGGATTATTATGTTGAGACTTGGTTGTTTATGTCGTTGATTTGGTGAGCATGGGAATTGTCCATGCCACGTAGACTCGTTTATGTCTTGTTTTAGTTGGAGTTGTAATAATGTATCAGGATTATTGTCCGGACTACGTGTGTAGATCCGTGACTTTAGATACTCACTTTATCTATGTTATGAGGTTTTCTGTTAGATGTTATTTGCAATTTACATACAGGCGGTATTTTATGAAATTGATTAAGTAATCAACTTGGCTAAGTATAATGACGTCATAATTGAAAAGAAAAGATTTTCTGCAATTTCAATTAAGCGCAGCTTAATACGATAGTATGATAACATTACCGGGTATACACGGGGTGTTACACGCTCCTTCCGCACGAGCCACACGAGCACTCCTTGCTCTTCCTTTTCTTGCTTCGCGCTCGTACCAAGCACTCCACACACAAAAATCCCACTACCCGATTGTAACAAGCTCCAGGTCATTATTCGATTAGGGTCAGTGTTTGCTTTTTTTTCTTTTTAGGGGACAATGGTTAGAATCAAACTTTTAGATGAATGATTAAGTGAATCACTAAAAGGAGAGGCTTTTGTGGTTAGATGGCTAACAGAAATCAAGCTGGAAGGTTGATTGAACGGCTTTGTGGTTGGAATGAGATGGGTGGTTCGAACGGTGAGGGGGTTAGGGTTCGCTGGCTCAAGAGTATTTTTCCCAAAAGTGGTTTACGCTATACAAATCCAGTTTCTTTCTATTTTTCTTTCTATCTCTCAATTGGGCCTTTCTGAGTTGAACTCCAAAGCTCATTTCTTTTTTTCTTTTTCTGCTTTGATAAACCATTTCTTTCACTTGACTTTGTGGGCCTGAAATATCAAAACACAGTCCATTACTTTAAACTCAACATAACTTCAGCTCAATGTAATTGAGTTAGTATTATACAAAAAATATTCGTTTCCTCACATTTTCATATCAACAACTATATGTTTTAAGTCACATCCCATGGACTTATCAGTTATATAACTATCATGTTACATCAGCGAAAACAAAAGTGGGAGCAAGAAAGAGGAAAAAAAAACAGTAAACCTCATCCAATTCTGTGTTTGAGGAAAAAAAATATTATTGTGATATAAAAATTATATAACCCAAATTGTAAATGTAACATTTCACGATTTCAACGACAACATTATTTATGTAATTTTGTTTTTTAATTAAATAACTACGCATTTACAGACATGTTAGGCTATATTACATTAAATCGACCTAGGGTATTGTACAAAATACAAAATATAAATATAGAAAATGTTATATTTACTACCATTTTAGTCTTATTATTTTTACTATCTGATTTGATACAATTGGAACAATTTGAAATTAAAAGCAGTTAATTTTTTCATCTTAACCATTGATTTCAAATTGATCCAACGATAACCAATTAGGTAGTAAGAGTAATACGTCTAAAACGATTGTAAGTATAATTGCCCCATACAAATATATGTCAATTTAACTAAAATATAAATGTTACAATAGAAAAATGATATTTCAGTTACATAATAGCTCCGTAATTGATAACGAAAAATACAAATAATTGTAAAGACATTTTTTTTTTTGTAAACAACTGTTGTGTAAAGACATTTTTAACTTATATTATGATGAACAAATATTTTATTCTCTGTCTTCAATATCTGAAACACTTACTGATATATTAACTTTCGTAGATTAACAATTAAATTTTTATTTTATTTTACAAAGATATAATATTTCTAGCCATAACTAGGCTAGAAATTTTTATATAAGAATATGGCTTCCATACTTAAGGGGGTAAATTGAGTATTATAAGTTTTTCCCCAAATTAGTTTCTAAATAATTATTTCAAGCAAACTTTGATATATGGAAAACTAATCAATACATTCAAATAATCCATAACATATAATATATCATAATTATAGAGCTTATGTTAGCACATCATAATATCAAAGAAGCAATTAAAGAGTTTAGAGTTTAGAGAATTACAAACATAATGTATCCTGATTCAGTCACCATCACTTGTAACCTATGTCCGAATTGAATCCGCTTAATCAAATCTTTCACTGACGATCAAGCTTCAAGGATGCTTGATAAACCGCTACAATCTTCCAAGATTTCATGTTCTTGAATACCTTACAACCTCCAAGTTTACAGATACTTGACAACCTTACAATTTTACTTGGGTATTTGGCTACATCTCAAATAAAATGGGTCTCACAACTCTTTCAACTCAAGAATACAAAGGGAAGGTGTTTGAAAATAAATATACACTCTCAAAGTTTAGATATACAACTTGAAGCACTATGAGTATATGAATTATGAAAATATGAACTCAAATATGTTTGATTTTTGAAAAACATGAAATAATATGCAAATGATAGTGTAGATATTCTCAAAGTATGCTTAAGATGTGTTAGAATGGTGCCCAACTGGTTCTGGATTTGTTGGGAATATATATATAGTGATTTTATCCAAAACTAACTATTTATAACTGTTGGAACACTTTCTGGACAACAAGTACTCAATTACTTTCATGGAGTAAAATGTAATCGATTACTCTCATCTGCAACTTGACAATAAAAGTATTGTTTCATATTTTGGGTATAACGTGAGTTATTCTTATCGGATTGATGTGATCTTGGTCTTTTTTTGGAAAGATAAAACAGAAATATACAACTTATATAAAGAACACAAGATCCAAATCCATCATTTTTTATATGAAAAATTGTCCGAAAGATAGAAACCAGATTATGCAGCAAATTTAAGTTTAAATGCATTCCAACTTGCTTCCAACCACTTTTTATGAAAGATCTTGAGTTGATAAATATGTTTTAAAATTATAAAACACGTCAAGGATCTTTTCAATGAGTTTCTCAAATTTCTTTCAAGTACATAAAACCATGGATGATGCATGTATGAAAATAAGTTTACTTTAAGAAAAGTTTTGAGCTCATTCAATGCATTCTACCATATACCATTGCATATTATATCTAAGTCCTATAAGTGTATTCTAATAAGAAATTTGATTTAGCTTCTTATGTTGATTCTTGGATCTTGATCCTCACTTGAAATTGATGCTTTGACTTGTTAGATATGATAATACTTGATATTTTGTTGGTTTTGATTTTTTTTTCATCATTGTTATGATAAATAGTAATAATACATTCTACTATATATGTTTAATAAATAGTGTGCCTAGAAACGAAGAAAAAAATTGTTTCTATTTTTTGTTTAATTTTCATTTATGGGTACGGATTCGTTATTTATTTATTTTTACAATTTTCCATTCTCACGTCTTAGATGTATGTTCCAATGGAAGTTAAATTAGCTTAATGATGATAAAATAAATATATTATCAATAATTCCAGTTTAGTGCAAAAATTAGGCTAATTCCAACGGTCCAATGACAGAACAATTCAAGATTGGTTTTATGCTTTTAATGGTTTTCTTTTGTAGACGGGTAATTAGAGTATGATTAGATCGTGAATCGGTTCTCAATTCAATTAGTTTGATAGGTCGATTTAATTTATTTATTTTTAAACTATGACTATGATATCCAATGTTTAATCTTCCTTTAAAACAAATAACATGGTATGAAAATCATGATCATAAAGTCAAATGATATAAGGATGTGTCACATTTAGATAAAAGTTTAATTTTGTTGTGACATTAACTTAATATTTGGACACATGATCATTGCATTATATTTTGATATATTATTATTAAACATTTGCTTCTTACTCAATTACTTAAAATTTACTAGAGTAAAGTCTTTTTTGTGTCCATAACAAAAAATACATCTTCACTTTCGTGTTTTATAAAAAAAAAAAATTTAATTTTTATTCCCTCTACAATTTTAGTTGTTAAAAAATATGTTCTTTTAAAAATTCAATAAAGATATAATTTAGTTCTTAAAAAAGCAATAATATGTGTATTTTTTTTTTTAAGTGACAAAAATGGAAATAGTATTTTTTATTTACTATAATGTTGAATTAAGTTTAATAATAATAAAGTCATACACTTTCGTAGTGTTTGGTTGAAGATTTATTTTGGGATTGATGGGAAAGTGTAAGTGGCTATTGGAAAATACACGTTTGATTCAAGTTTTTTAAAAAAATACTAGGTAAATAGGATAGATGGGAAAATGACTTTTGTGTTGATTTTTGGATGAAATTCACTGTTATAGAATACGACTTGAGATGTGGTATTTTAAGATAACTGGGGAAGTGAAAAAACAAGTGCGAAGTTTCTCCCGAACATAGATTTTGCAAATTTAAATAAATTTCACTAGTAATATTTCACTCAATTAAACAACTTTTTTTACATTTTTTTACTAAACTCAATTTCTAATCATTTTTCTAATAATTAGAAAATTGCTAGTATTCAAAAAAATTGTGCTCAAGCAAACGGTCGCCTATGATACATTAGTATTCGTCTTGTTGCCCTAAACAATTCATCCGTTTCTACATAGGAGTTTCTCAACTTAGGGTAAGGATCCAGAGAATAGGAACCCGCCTGTGAAAGGATTGTAAAGAGAACACTTAACATTAACACGAGACGCCACAATGCTGAATACAACAAGAACGAGGTATGCTCTTTCCAAATTCCACTGCTTCTCTTTGAGATTCTCTTACTCTCCCTCTGCTTCTGTGTCTTTGAGGTTATATTCTCTTCATTCTCATAACATTGATGATGCTGTCTCCTCTTTCATGTCCGCTCTCGCTAAGCCTCATCCTCCGTCCATTATTGAATTTAATAAGATTTTGGGATCTATTGTTAAGATGAAAGCATACCCTACTGCTTTTTCACTCTTTGCCCTTATGGAGTCTAAGGGTATCACTCCTTGCATTTTTAGTTTGAACATCTTGATCAATTGTTATTGCCATTCGGGTCAAATGGATTTTGCTTTTTCTGTATTGGGTAAGATTATCAAGATGGGTTATGAATTGGATACCATAACTTTGAATACCCTCATGAAAGGACTCTGTATTAATAGGAAGATTAGGGAAGCTCTGGAATTTCATGACAGGGTAAGAGCATTTGGATTTCTTCTTGATGAGGTTAGTTATGGGACATTGATAAATGGGTTATGTAAAATGGGAGAAGTAAGAGCTGCCGTTGAGTTGCTGCAAAAGCTGGAGAGGCAACCGGTTAGGCCTGATTTAGTCATGTACAATACGATCATTGACGGGTTATGCAAAGATGGACTTGTAACTGAGGCTAACAATTTATTTTCTAAGGCGACTGCCCAAGGAATTTCTCCTGATGTAGTCACGTACAATTCTCTAATTCACGGTTTTTGCTGTGTCGGTCAATCAAAAGAAGCAACTCGATTACTGAATGAAATGGTTCAACAAAACATTAACCCAGACGTATATACACTTAGCATTCTGATTGATGCATTATGTAAAGAAGGAAGAATGATAGAAGCCCAAAGGATATTTGATATGATGTTGGAAAGAGGTCCTAAGCCTAATGTTGTCACCCACAATGCTTTGATGGATGGATACTTTTTAATCGATGAACTGAATGCGGCAAGAAAGCTATTTGATGATATGGACAAAATCGGTTTGACACCAGATGTTTGGAGTTATAGCATTATGATTGATGGGTATTGCAAAAATAAAAGGGTAGATGATGCTGTTACTCTCTTTAAAGAAATGCGTCACAAAAATTTAGTTCCAGATACAGTAACATATAATTCTGTTATTGATGGCTTGTGCAAATCGGGGAGAATAACATGTGTGCAAGATATTGTAAATGATATGCATCAAAATGGTCAAGCCCTTGATTTAATTACTTACAGAATCTTGTTAGATGCTCTATGCAAAGCCCAACACCTTGATGAGGCAATTGAATTATTTCAGCAAATTGTTAACAAAGGAATACGTCCAAATTTGTATGCAAACAATATTCTTCTGAATGGTTTGTGCAAAGGTGGGAGACTAAAGACTGCTGAAGAGTTTTTTCATCATCTTTTGAACCATGGTTGCCGTATAGATGTTTGGACTTATAATATTATGATCACTGGGTTCTGTAAACACGGCTTCCTTGATGAAGCAACAGCTTTATTTTCAAAAATGAAAGTCAATGATTGCCTGCCTAATGTTGTAACTTGCGAAACAATTATTCGTGCTCTTCTAAATACAAATGAGAAAGAAAAGGCAGAGAAGCTTCTTCGTGAAATGATAAATGAAGGCCTGCTAAAGGTAGAGAACATGGTGAGATTAACAACTTCCATTTAACTCCCACTTTTTTTTATTTATTTGCCCGTTGTGCTTGAAGTTATTGGATTAACAATAATGTTGTGGTGCTCACGTGATAATACTCTTTGTCAGTTTAATTAACTGTTGCAGTGTTCTGAAGTCATTTATTGTCATGTAGTGTTTCAGTTCAAATGTATTGATAGTGTCCTAAATATTGAGTTCTGACTTGTATCAGGTTTAATATATCAATAAAAAGCCAAAGCCAAGTGTGACATGGCCGTTCAATGTTCCCTTATCTCTAAACCTTAACTCATTTTACCATGAGTGATGCAAACCAAAAAAACAAACATGTTCATTTACTTTTCCCTATATACTTTTGATGGTTTTCCTACTGCTATGATAATTTTAGCAGCACTGTCAAATTTAACTTCCTAAGATTTTGGATTTTTTTTCTTCATTATATTACTTCTGTATTAAAAAAAAAAAAAAAAAAAAAAAACTGTTCAAATGTACTGAGAGTTCTATAGAAGGTTTGGATTTTAATTATAAAAGTAACTGATATCTTATTGGTTAGCTCTACTCTGAATATATTTTTTTCCTCCTCTTCTATTCAGGATTCAATGTCTACTATTCCCTGGGAGGTGGAACATATTCTTGGAAAGGAACTGTGATCTTATTGAAGACTAAATAGTATCAAATAACATGTGTGCAAGATATTTTAGATGAGATGCATCAAAATGGTCAAGCCCTTAATTTAATTACTTACTCTATCTTGTTAGATGCTCTATGCAAAGCCCAACACCTTGATGAGGCAATTGCATTATTTAAGCAAATTATTAACAAAGGAATACGTCCAAATATGCATGCGTACAATATTCTTCTGAATGGTTTGTGCAAAGGTGGAAGACTAAAGACTGCAGAAGATATTTTTCAGCATCTTTTGATCCATGGCTATCGTCTAAATGTTTGGACTTATAATATTATGATCAATGGGTTCGGTAAACATGCCTTGTTTGATGAAGCAACAGCTTTACTTTCGAAAATGAAAGGCAATGGTTGCCTGCCTGATGCTGTAACTTATGAAACAATTATTTGTGCTCTTTTAAATAAAAATGAGACAGAAAAGGCAGAGAAGCTTCTCCATGAAATGATCAGTATAGGCCTACTAAAGAGAGAGAACAAGGTGGGATTAACAACTTCCATTTAACTCTAACTTTTATTTTTTTTATTTTTTTTTATTTTTTTTATTTGCCTGTTGTGCTTGAAGTTATTGGATTAACAATAATGTTGTGGTGCTCACGTGATAATACTCTTAGTCAGTTTAATTAACTGTTGCAGTGTTCTGAAGTCATTTATTGTCAGGTAGTGTTTCAGTTCAAATGTATTGATAGTGTCCTAAATATTGAGTTCTGACTTGTATCAGGTTTAATATATCAATAAAAAGCCAAAGCCAAGTGTGACATGACCGTTCAATGTTCCCTTATCTCTAATCCTTAACTCATTTTACCGTGACTGATGCAAACCAAAAAAACAAACATGTTCATTTACTTTTCCCTATATACTTTTGATGGTTTTCCTACTGCTATGATATTTTTAGCAGAGACATACTTTATTTGCACTGTCAAATTTAACTTCCTAAGATTTTGGATTTTTTTTTTTTTTTCATTATATTAATTCTGTATTAAAAAAAAAAAACTGTTCAAATGTACTGAGAGTTCTATAGAAGGTTTGGATTTTAATTTTAAAAGTAACTGATATCTCTCATTGGTTAGCTCTACTCTGAATATATTTTTTTTCATCGTATTCTATTCAGGATTCAATGTCTACTATTCCCTGGGAGGTGGAACATATTCTTGGAAGGGAACTGTGATCTTCTTGAAGACTAAATAGTATCAAATAATATGTACATTCTCAGTCTCCTTACCAATGGTGTTTCTTGTCTCTTGATATTCTCTATGAGCTGAGCGCAGGTCTGTGGAAGTTAGCTGTGAACTAAGACAATTGTTTCAAAGTGGATATTTATTTCCCCTCTTAACATATTAAGGATTGTAGAAGTATCATACATTTTCTTTCCTTAGCTGTCCCAAATGAGTGTACGCCTTTAGTATAAAGCAAATTAGTAGTCTGCACTACGGAAATGTTATTACAGGTCACATGTAGCCCTGTTTTTGTTTGTGGTATCTCCTCATATTATCCAAAGGTGCATGTGCTCTGCTCTTGGAAGACGATGAATTTGAAAGTGTATGATGGCTATTATTGGTAAGCATGTCCTCTGTTTGCATTTTTCCATGTCTTCTTTGTTGGGATTTTACAGGCTTGCCTTTATACTCACAGGGTTAGTCACATTTCATTGGTATCTTTTCTGATGTGAAATATCAGGAAGATTCGTTCAATTTTTGGCTTTGCATTGTTACTTAGCTCCTTTCAACCCTAGAACATGATTGCCCTGATTTTCTTGAGCTTTTGCATTATACAAAATGCAATCTTTTTTTTTGGGGGGAAAACTTGTTGATTGGGATAATAACATATGACTGAACACGTGGAGCTTCTATTGATGGTACTGATTCTGCTTTTTTGAATTTCAGGTACAATTTTATGCGCTGTGTATGAATGACTCTTTTGGTGAATACGTACTACTTTTTATATTGGCTTTATTTTGCATTTTATTTATTTCTTCTGAATTGCTTTTGGCCATAAGATTTGGGATCTCTACCTCGTTCTAATTTGTACATCTTCTTCTGCTCGATCTTCTAGTTTGGATACTCCTTAATTTTGTGCTCTTATTTTCCCCATTTGAAGCATCTATCATTAGATAAGGAAGAGTTGGGTTTATTTCTCATGAACTTCTCCTCTTATGGAAGACTACTCAGAATTCTTGTAACTCGGGGTGTGCAAAATAACTAAAAAATCGAATCGAATCGAATCATGAACCATGAACTGAACTACACTTCAAATAACCAGTTCATGAACCGAACCGGTTTTTAAAGAACCAATTCATGAACCGAACCGTTTCCGAACATATTGAACCATTTCCGAACATATCGAACCATTTTCGAACCGAACCAAATTGATTTTTATAACTTTATTTTTAGATTTTTTAATTTTTTCTTTCTTTTCAAAATAGGGTCGACCTGAACCATTTTTGAACTGAACCAAACCGTTTCCAACCGAACTGAACCAGTTTTGAACTGAACCGAACCATTTAAACCAATTCGGTTCGGTTTTTCAAAAAATTTGATTCGGTTCGAACCATGCACATCCCTACTCATAACTCACACTTCGATTTTTGTTTCCCTATTGAGGGCAGTTAACTCATTCATAATATGTGTAATCATATCCCTAATGGACTGTTTAAGTTTCATCATTCATTTCATATCGAGCATTTGAAAAGTGGCAACAACAATAAGGAAACACAAGTTTGTCTCTATCGAACCTCTTATCCTACACTTTCGCTTTATCTCCTTTTTCAGAAATATAAAAACAAATCAATAATGGATTCATTTTCCTCCTTTTCATTACCCTCATGTGCTGTTTGGTTGAGGAGTTCCTATAATTTTTCCATGCAAATGAACTTGGGCATCCACTTTGTCTCTGTTTGGTAGACGGATTTGGCAACGATGCCCATCTATTCCATTTGCATGGCATTTCCCATTTGGTCGATGAAAGCAGGGACTTGGCACTGTTCAGAAAGAGAACTCGGACGTGATTTTTGGTGGAAAGCCGTCTAAATTGCAAAAGGCAATTTTAAATCAACCGAAAATACCCTCTGATATTATCTCGGTTTGGAGATGGATCGGTTGGCTGAGGTGGGGGTATGGCTGGTTTGTCTGGCTAGGAGAAGAGGAGGGGCGGTGATGGGCTGTTGAAGATGAAGATAGGATGGGGGGCTGAACGGTGGTGGCTGGATGGAGATGGTGGTCGGCGGTGTGGTTGTGGGTTCACAAAAAAAAATAAAGTAAAGGCTGTTAGTGGTGGGTTGATGGAAGGAGGACGATGAGGTGGGGTAGTGGTTTGGGTGCAGCGGTCATGGTGGAACGATGGGCTTTGGAGGGACGATGAGGTGGTGAAGAGAAGGAGGATGACGGTAGTGTGTGGTGAAGGCTGAGGGTTTCAAAATTAAATAAAAATAAAAATAAAAAATAAAAAATAAAAAATAAAAAAATAAAATAAAAAGGGCAATGTTTAAAAGGATAGTTTCGTAAATTCAGAATAGTTACCCATCATTATTTTATATTCAACCAAACACACTCTTTACAAATTTCACTTAATTTTTTTGGTAAAATTTTACTCAACCAAACAACTTTTTTTACATTTTCTTACCAAACTCAGTTTCCAACCATTTCACTAGTATTCAAAAAAATTTCTCCTCAACCAAACGTTGTCCTGATGCAGAGGTGTATATTATGTATTCATTAATGGATGATAGACAAATCCATAGAAAGCATTCTTGATAATATTTAAAACATTACAATGATTTTCTCAAGTCAAGAATATGCATTCGAATTGTGTGAAAGTCATTAGAATAAAAAACAGGTTGAAATATGCTCCATAATTTGCTTCAATAAAAAAGTATTTGAATGTTTTACTGTAGCAAAAGATTTTTCATTACTTTTTCAAAAGTATTTGAATATCTTTTTCTCATAAAGAATGCATTCGTGAAATGTATTCCAATACTTACTAGCCCGTAAGTTTCTAACAATGGGTAACCATTATTGTTTTGTTTGATATTTTTTTTATTACAGAAGATAAAATTAGCTTAAGATCTTCAAAATTATGTCGTTTTGAAAGTTAGGGGAATTAATGAAGAATGTTTCAATAATTTTGTTTATTTTTTTGTTGTATGAATTTTACGAAAATACTCTTCATTAATTCCTTAAAGCCCTCAAAACAATGTAGTTTTAAATGTTACATGCGATAATTTTATCTCCAATAACAAGATAAACAATAAAGAATTTATGTATATTCATTTATTATGTCACTAACCTCTCTTGATCAATGTTCCATTGATTAGTAAATGTTTATTTCATCACACTTATATTTTTCTTATTTTATTAAGTCAATTATCTCCCTATCAAATTAATGAATATAAAATTTTCAAAAAATATAAATAATAATGAATATAAGTTTAATTTTGATGCAATACCATCAAGCACTAGTAGATGATTGTTGTAGCTTCATATGTGGTCTCGAGTTCGAAGCTTGATATACATCTCGGTTAAAAAATTGGTAGGGATAGCTTTTTAATTTTATTTTTATGCAATATAATACATTTTACACCAAATCTTAACTGTTGATTTTTGTATACTTAACAATTATGATTTATTGAAAATTAATAATTAATTAATGTTGTCCAATAAATCACAATCGTCACATATATGAAAATTAACAGTTAAGATTAGATATAAGACTTATTATTTTTACACAGTTGTAAGTTGATCCTATCTCTTATACACATTTTCATTTTGGTCATATTTTCATTTTCTAAAAAAAAAAAAACTTACTTCCCCCTTAATTGTTGTGTAAGTTTTAAAAATACATAAATCAATAAAATTAAAGAATTCCTTTTGTCATTTTAAAGGACACATCATTGTGAAATGACTGTGTTTTAATATATATTTGATTATTTTTTATATTTTTTCTTTACCATAAAATTAAAAGAACATGTAAAAAATTAAAAAATATGCATAAAAAAATAATTTAACTTTTAAATGGGAAGAGCATAACTAAATGATGTAGCTTAGTTGGCACTAGAGAATTGAGTAGATGGGTGAGAGCATGTTCGATCCTCTCATCCGCAACACGTTTTTGGTAGGTTTAAAGTCTTGATCTCAGAACTTGTCCCATATCGAATTAGACTGTTGAGATATATAAAATCATTAATGTAGCCTCATCCAACTCACGCAAGAGCCCTTTGGGACTAGAAGCGTGGATATTGCACAGGCTCAATTTTTTGTTTACCTTCTGTGCTTTTTTTATTTTAATTTCAGTGTTCGGTGATGGCCTTTTTAATGATTTATATTATATTCTCTAACATAGACACAAAACTATGAATCGATTGAAATATCTCAAAATAAAAAATGGAAAGAACATTTAAAATGGGAAATACTTTTCACAAAATTAAGTTGTTGTGTAAGTTCAAGTAATCAACGATATGCCAACTTATGGCATGTTTGATACATAGTATAGGATAAGGCCTAATAGTATAAGGCCTGATAGTATAAGGCCTGATAGTATAAGACCTGATAGTATAAGGCCTGATTGTGTAAGGCCTGATTAAATTTTAATACTATCCAGCGTTTGACATGATATTGTATAAGATAATATATTATCTAAGATTGTGATAAAAAAAAATATATATATATATTATCTAAGATAATATCATCCATTGTTTGGTAATACACTGTATAATACTAAATAGGTTAAAAATAAATATTTTTGTCAAAAATACTTTTTAATTATGAATTTACATAATTCTTCCAAATATATCAGATGAAATTATTTTTTATAGAAATATGTTGATGAGTGTGTCCAAAAAATATATTTTTTATAAAAATAAAAATATCCAATATTTAAAAAAATTATATATTAAAAAATTAATATTAAAATAATATATTAATTCTTGAGAACCAGAAAACCAGAAAACAAACATGCTCTTTTACTTTTCCCTATATACTTCTGATGGTTTTCCTACTTCTATGATAATTTTAGCAGAGACATACTTTATTTGCACTGTCAAATCTTATTCCTTAAGATTTTTGGAATTTGTTTTCATTATATTACTTCTGTAAAAATAGAAGAAATAACTGTTCAAATGGACTGAGAGTTCTATAAAAGGTTTGGATTTTAATTTTAATGTAATAGCATATCCTTTGTAATATCTCTAATTGGTTAGCTCTACTTTGAATAGATTTTTTTTTCTCGTCTTCCATTCAGGATGCAGTGTCTCCTTTTCGCTGGGAGGTGGAACAGATTCTTGGAAAGGAACTATGCTCATCTTGAAGACTAAATAGTATCACACAATAGGCA